GCCCCACACACTCCGAGGAAGAGCCCTTATTGATTTTCATTTCTCATATGTTTTGAATGGAGAGAAAGAAATTTACATACCATGAAGTATTTACAGTAACACAAAAGGAGCTTCATCGAGGAGTTGTTGCTCACGTGCATTTTATGGCTTAACCCTTGTGAAATGTTACACAATATGTTTGTGCACTGTTGATCTTGAAGCCCCATCACACTCACTGATTACATGTTCTTGTACATTAACACAGATCATAAGAATGTGCTAAAATAAAAGCGACTTCCCTTCTAATGTTTCCAAAACAGGTGCTGCAGAAAAGTATTGCTTATTACGTTTTTGTTTGTCTTGCAGGGTTGTCAAGGAGCATCTTGGTGAGCAGGAAGTGGCCATTTCCCTGACTATTGACTCCTTGGAGGAGGAGGACCTGGGAAATTATTCCTGTTATGTGGAAAATGGTAACGGCCGTCGCCAAGCTACCATCCAGCTCCTCAGACGGGGTAAGGGCTTTTTGACATTTCCCACTGCAACCAGTTTTTGCATTGTATTTCCACGTAAGTGGGTTGTAGGTTGGAAAAATGATTATTCCTCGCTGTCTGACACTATCATATATATTCTGTATCAGCTTGTTCCAAATCTTCATTAAAGCTATATGATGAATAAAATATTTAAAACATTCAGGCTGCACCATTCTATCAAATGGATATATTCTAGATGTCTTGTATATCTTTTTATAAACATTTCCTCAAACTTCGGCCTGACATATTAACTCCAGGATCTCCGCTAATTCAAAAATGTGTGCTTTGAAGTTTGACTGCAAAGCATTCGCTGCTTTATTGAGGTTAAAGGGGTTAAAGCTGCTCTTATCAATATTTTATACTAATAATGAATCAAATGACTATGTGTAATGAGATAGGGGTTACTTGTAGTGACTAACCCAGAGTATTATCACCTGACTCTGCAGTTTCCCTCAGCTTTACAGAACATTTTAGTGTCTTTCAGCTTTATATGATGGCCCACAACTTTGCTGTTTTGATTGACTGTTTGCTCTCATCAGTGCAACCAATCACACCATTTTCAGAAGCTCTAATAAAACCCACTGTATAATATCTGCCCAGCAGGTTAGACTTGGATATTTCCCTCAAGACTTCGTGGAGACCAAAATAGCACTAGAGCTAAAAGGAGAGAAAATATTGGACTTACATTCAACAGAACATTAACCTTTTTAAGGTCATAGTAATGTATATCAATGTTTTGTTTACAGCTTGTTTTTGCTGCCCCCAAGTGGTCAGATCAGATATTTGCAGGTTTAAAGCTTTTAGGTGTATACAGTATAGACACGTCTTTCTTTAAGATCAATTCAGACATTGGATTATGCTTTTAACAAGATAAGAAGGCTTCATACACCTCCTTCATACTGCACAAAGACTTCACAGCACTCTTAAACAGCATCCATTTGTTTTTATTGTCCATTTTTTTATTTGTTCTTCCATCCACCATTGCGTTAACAATCTGCGCTTGAGCTCTATTTGGTTGTGTCGCTTCTCTCTGCATGTGCTTCAGCAGCTGTGTAGCTATTTTGGCTCTCTAGCATGACTTGTCTGAAGCTCTTTTCATGCACTGGTTGTCACCCTGCAAAGAGAGGTAATTTGATGGCTGTTTAAACAGCAAATTGGTCCTCAGCTTTTCCCAACAGGCCAATAAGTTCAGCATACAATTACATTTTAAGTCTTTATCTGTCTGTCTCCCCGCTTTAATCTCTGTCTCTGTGACCGTCTTTTTTAGATGGCCCAATTCCATTTGAGTGGTCTTTGTAGACTTTAGACAGCTTCATTTAAATCTCTCTGTCAAAGCAGCATTTCCATGGAGAGGGATGCTAAGAAAGACTTCAAGTCGAGCTCTGTCTCTCTCTGTTTCCCACATTATTCTGATGTTTATTTCATGTTTCATCACTCATAAGCCCTGCAGCAGGTCTGCGAATGTCTCTGCAGGCAGACTTTCCTTCCATCTCAGAAGAAAGAGAGAAATGGAATAAGAGAAGACAGTAGGGAAGGGGTGGCCAGTGAAACATAAACAACTTAAAGAGTGAGAATGATTGCTGTTAATTAGTTAAAAGCATTAAATTACAGAAATGACATATTACAGGGCCAAAACAACAGTACTGTCCTTCTGACACATAAGTTGTTTATGAAAAAACATCAAGATAATGTGCAGACTGATACAGAAAATCTGTCTTTACAAGACCTTAAATTAAGGTACCGACATATGACGATTAGCTTAGCTTAGGATAAAGAATGGAAACAGCAATTTCCTGGACTCTTCTTGACCCAACCAAGAAATACTGCGGTATAGTGCAGTCCATAAACCCAAATAAAACATCACTGTGTTGTTTTTTGTGTATTTTTACAGTACATGGATTAAACAAACAAAATATAATGCCTGTTTGCAGTCTTATTGCTCAGCCAAGAGAATATCTTCTGGCTGTAGCTTCATATTAACCATACATGACATGTGAGTGGTAATTTAGTCTAATTTTAAGCCTTAAATTAAACCTGTTTGTGATGAAATAAATATTTAGTCTTAAACTGTTTATTCAAGTGCCAACATTGTGAAATAACTTCCAACGCAGCCCCACATTTTTGGGCATTTTTCATCAAATAAGTGCCATTATCTTAAAAGTAACAATCACTTAGTGTGTGGAGAGAAAAATAACTAAAATAAAAATGGCTTGCATTGAAAGGAATATCTCAGCTGCTCGAGCTATTTGAACTTGTTTAAATAAAAGAAATATGATTATATTTTATAATTTTTATAAAAGATACATCTATATTTGAGGAATATATAATCTGTGATTATATAGCAGTTGCATTGTGGTTGCTATAACAGCCGTGCAGTGTTCCAGCCCACAGTGACAGAGATATAAAGTGAACCTGTTCCAGCTGAGCCAACCAGGTAAATCCTGCTTTCATACACAACATAATTCATTGTTCCCCAAGCTAGGTCTTTGGGGAGATGGAGAGGAGATAATAGAGAAGAGAAATGAATGTAAAGATGGGGG